ACCGAGTGCTGTAGACTCCCTTTTGCGCTGGAGACTCCATTTTGCTGGTATTTTCCCCTGTTTTGCGAGAAAGACCCGCCAGAAAAATTTCTATATAATGTCTACGGCCATACCACGTTGAAAGCACCAGTTCTCGTCCGATCACTGAAGTTAAGCAACGTCGGGCTCGGTTAGTACTTGGATGGGTGACCGCCTGGGAACACCGAGTGCTGTAGACTCCCTTTTGCGCTGGAGACTCCATTTTGCTGGTATTTTCCCCTGTTTTGCGAGAAAGACCCGCCAGAAAAATTTCTATATAATGTCTACGGCCATACCACGTTGAAAGCACATTGGTTCCGGCTTGCTGTTTATAGGAGAGATACGTGTTTCATTTCGATCACTATAAATCCAATGTAATCCTGGAGTTTAACCTGCAATTTCTACCTTATGATTGATTATTACAACAAAGAAAACATTGATTGACATTTTGTTGAGAAGTATTTTTGTTTATAGAGGTTTTTCCTTGTTATTTGGGCCTTTTGGCCCGGCTGTTTAAACAGTCTATAAACTATATTAACAATATGGCGTCTAAACCTGATGTGACGCTACTTGTTAAACGCAATACCGTAAAGGTTCAAATAAATGATCATCAAAAGTATAAAGCTATTGAAGTCATTAGATTTATTGAAGATCAGCTGGGTGAAGATTCCGTTTTGGCTTGTGTTCCTGGACGTGATTTCTTTGATGTTACTCTCATAAATCACGATGTAGCTAAAAATTTAGCAAATGATGGTTTATTGGCTGATGGAGCGGGTTTTCATTGCAAATTTATTGAATCTCGCATCAAAGTGGTTTCATTTATGAATATCCCTGTTTACATTAATGATAAGGATATTTTATCAAAATTAAAATTTTGGGGTGTTATTCCTGTTGGTGAAATTAATCGAAAATGTTTTGATTTCCAAGGAAAGCGCAAATATGATGGTACCCGCTTCTTGAAAGTGGAATTTCCGAAAGAAGTAGCCAGTCTGCCATATGCAACTACTTTTGATGGTGTGTCCTATGCTGTTCGGCATAATGACCAGGAAAAGGTATGTTTTGTTTGCCTTCAATCTGGTCATAGGATGTCTGATTGCCAAGAGT